AATCCCATTTCCCATTCACTCTAATTTTAAGACTATTTCATCTTAAACAAAAACTCAACAGATTGTTCAGTTACACTCCCCATGTAGGCACCTACTTAAGATCAAACTGTGTATTAGAGGAAAGTTATATCATTATACATTCTTAGGCAGAGGCAGATCTTCAGTGAGTTCAATGAAAATCATAACTTTCCACTTGATCCATAAGTACATATATATGCGGAAAAAATGTAAACTTGTGTATTAAACTCATTTTGAATCCACTTACTATAAAATCTTGATTCGCCTTTGATCTTGAGTAGGCTTTTAAAAAAAATAAATTGTACTTAAGCTATTATATTCATCAGATTCAATCTGGACTTAACCAGATAAAGTGTATGTGCACTAAAGATGGACTGACTCAACTCTTGTTGATAAATCAAGAGCCTCTTCGAGTTTAACAACCACTTGTTCCATGGATGGTCGTTGCTGCAGCCCTATGCTAACTAAAGCTAACTTAAGCATAAGTTCAAAAGCCTCCATTGAGAATTTCCCCTCCATTTTGGGATCAGCAAATTCTTTGATGTTCCCACCTTTAGTCAAGTTTTTCGCCTAAGATTCAAAATGACATGTTAAATTAAGAAAGTTTGGGAAAAAAAACACAAGAGAAGAGTGAGTATTTATTTTTACCATTTTACTTAGAGGCATTGGATTCTGCAAATTCAAGTTGATAACCCTTTGTCCAGATAATAGTTGTAGCAGAACTATCCCAAAGCTATAGACATCACCATAAGAATTTACGTGTCGGTTCTTTTGGTACTCAGGATCAACATAACCAAAAGTTCCTCTCACTTCTGAGCTAGCATAAGAGTGACCAATGCTAATAATTTTGGACAAACCAAAGTCTGAGAGTTTAGCTTCAAAGTTGGCAGATAGAAGAATGTTTGCTGGCTGCAAATTTCACCAAAAAAGTGAAACATAACTTAGAATATTTAGAAAATGGAGAACATATTATGGATGTAAAATAGGATTTAACCTTGATATCCCGGTGAACAATGGAGCCTTGAGGATACGAATGGAGAAACAGGAGACTGCGGGCACAATCAAGTGCAATTTCTAGTCTTTGTCTCCACGAGAGATATTTACTTTTACCTGCTCAATTAGTGTGTAGAAATCAGGACACAGTATAATTCAGGTCAAAAGAGAGCAGAAATGTTCAAAGAGAAAAAAATATACCAAATAACCATTCAGAAAGATTTCCATTGTGGCATAGCTCATAAACTAGAAAACACTCATTTGGTCCATCATTGTGTCCTAGCAAGGATACAAGGTTCGGATGTCTAATATGCGAGACACTTGTAACTTCTCTAACAAATGTCTCCATTTGTTCGTCCTTAATTATGTGCTTAATCGCCACATATTGTCCATCTGCCAGAATTCCTTTGTATACTTTTCCTGTAGAACATGATCATTTCAAAATCCAACTTTCAAAAGGAATCGATCTATATAGAGGCGCATCATAAGAGACTAGGCCAACTTGTACATATAATTCGATTTTGTTCTTACCAGCTATGCCTTGACCTATGAAGTTAGACATGATGAGATTGTCAGTCGCGGAGTAAATTTCTTTAAGTGATAGTTTACGATAGCTTGATTCTTCAGAGTAAGATCCATCTGATACTGCTAACAAGAAACAGAATTAGTATAAGTTAAAATTCAGAACAATGACTTTTTCTACGATTGTTGGTGTAGAGGGCTTACTATATCTTCCACTTGATGGTTTAACTTCATTCTTCCTTTTCAATAAGATCCACACCGCAGTGATTATTATTACTATAAGCCCTACTATACCACCAATTAGAATCCCAAGATCTGCATATTTAACCAATGCTTAACCATAGGAACACTCTTTTGTCCAGAAACTCAGCAATTGCAAAAATAGTTGTGAATACGGAATTCAAGATTTTACCTCTTTTAAACTTTGTTCTATGCCTAGTTTCACTTCCAATCTCATCTACAGAAGATACTGCACAGTACAATGATATGTCAATATCAAAATTTAATATTCAAAAAGTTGGAAGAGAAAACATAAATCTGCTTATAATAGAAAGTAAGACAAGCATTACCTAAAGGGAGAGAGTTGTCTCCTAGGCAATAAAAGATTTTGTCAATCCAACTCTCATCAGAAATTCTTTGGCTTGTTAACAAAATCAACATACTAAATCTACAAATGTCAGCTTCGAGTTTCATTGAGTTATTTTTCGATTTTGAAGTTAATGATCCCCATGTCCTCAAACACTGATTGCAGCCTTTAGTGAGTCCTCCTTCTGAATGCATTAGGCTGCAATCATCTCTTAGGCTTTTCAATATGTTTCCCAACTCGTTCACAATGTCGATCTCTGAATAATCAGAGCAGCCTCCTGCACCACTAGTCAACTTTTCAATGCCACAGCTAAAAGTATCAAAGCTACTGTTCTTCATCGAAGTTAAGCAGTGAATCTGTTGTGTGGAATTAAGAAAGATATGTCCTGTTTGGTTTGTCCAACGTGCCAATGCTTGTAAATATCTATTGAAAGGTAATCCACAACAAGGTTGGGTCAAAAAACCATCCCAATTTCCATCTAAAGTTGTACAATCCTCAGATGATGAAGAAATGTTAATATTCAGGACACAGTTATTGGAGATATTAATATGAGAAAAAACTAAGTCCAAAGATATGGAAAAAACCATGATAAACTTGATTAACACTGGTACTTTGGAGCAATTCATTTTTGTGAAATGCTAAAGGGTACTCTAAATTAAGGGTGGCACCATAAAATCTTTGCTCATATATTGACACAATCAATGTAGGCTATATAACTTTTCTTCGTATAGAAAAAAATTCAAGTAGATTGAAGTAGTAACAAAGAGAAGCCAAATGGCCGGCTAATAAGGGTCTTTTTCTTGTTTGTAATTGTAGAGCATAACACTATTTAATCCATCATTAGATGATATAAGACAAAAGGAAAAGTTCATTTAAAATCTAAGATAATTTGCTAATTTAATATCTGTAGATTCGTAACTTTAAGTAAGATTGTCATAAAAGACAAATGTCGGACATGGCAAAATCAAGAAAATATTGAAGTTTGATGTCACTTTGTGCTGTAGCGTTTGGTTGACGAAGGACTCAATCTTACACCAGTAAAAAGAAATCAATTGTTCTGGCAACAACTAAACTAGTTAAGCATTTATTAGATAGTTAGAATCAAAGCAATAATCATTTTGCATTTAAAAGATTGAAAGCAATATAAATAAAATAAAAAAGGAAAATGCTCCGGCCTCCATGTGTATTTGGTATGGCAAAAGTTATTTTTTAAGAAAATATCTTACATGTAAAAGTCATTTTCTGGTGATTATTTACCGAAATATATTTTTTTCAAAAAAAATATTTTCTATAAGGGGAAAATGCCTTCATTCGCTAAAGATGGAAGTCATTTTCCTCAACTATCTAAATTTTATTATTTACTCCAGTTTACACTTAGATATTATTATTAATAAATTCAAAATTTTCATCCAAACATTCTTTGATTTACTAACATATTTTTAATTTTTAGTATACTTTTTCCAGCAAAAAAATTTCACAAACCAATCTAATATTTTTCATGGAAATCACATGCGTCAGACCAAACACACTCCGTTTTATTGTTTTTTCTTCCGTTCCCTTTCCTTCTTCCATGGTTTATGGTTATACAATGTTTTGTTGCTACATTTAGAAAAGGCTGGAAATAAAAACCATAAACCCAAAGAAAATTAAAAAATGCAAGCAACCCTCTAGTTATATACTGAAGAAAAATTGAGTCTGTCGTGATTATAATTAATCATAGTACTTCATTTTAATTTGCTTTCCTTATTTTAGATATATGGAATAAGATGTGTTTATAACTTTAATTAGTGAAAAATTATGTACTTACAGAGGAGTGGTCAACTAACTTGTTTTTACAAGTAACATAGAGGGGTACATATAGTATAATGGAGGATCATAGAACAGTCTCTGGGACAAATGAAGAAGTTTAAGGAAGAACCTGCTCCTTAAGTGTAATATCTTCTTAGTTTTTTTATTTATTTAATTATTTTTAGCTTTCTTATGTATAATTTATTATGAAAATGAATGTCTAATACATGAATCTGCATTCGTCTTGCACTTAGGGCACTTTATGCTGAAAATTCAGTACTACATGGATCTATTCCGGCATTGACATTGTAGCTTCCATTATTTTTCAAATTGGTGGCCTTATAACTAATCTATTTCCAACGAATTAAGATATGTGGAGAGGGATAACAATCGAGAAATCGATACGCACCCAGTGTTTAATTTAAGCCACTAAATGCAAGTTAGGTGCATTGCGTATGAACTTTTATCACTTAACCATGGTCAAGCGATATGCATTCTGACTTTAATTTGTAACTCTTTACAATTAATTATTTGATTTGGTGTAAAAAAAAAGGGGTCAGTAGGTAAGTATTTTTCGGATAATGACAGCTCACATATCACAAATTCAAGAATCAGGTATATACATTTGAGAGAAGAAATAGTCCTTGTCTAAGTAAAGTAGAAAAGTTGTGTCATCATATAACACCTAAGAACTCGTATGACTGGGGAAAGACTTTAACTAAAACTTCTTATGTAACTCGAGGATTGCAGATCTCATATGTAACTTGAGGATTGGGAAACATTACATGGTATAGTCAAAGGCATGCATTTAAGAAGTAGCCAGTTTAAAAAATGTTACAAATATAGCCATTTTTCATTTTAAGCTCAACTTCGGGGTCCATCTTTGGCTGGAGATGCTTCTCTATGAGAGCCATTCTGCCTATATTTTTCTTTTTTTGTTTCTCACTCCCGCATTGGGCCCGACTAAATTCGAAGAATCATACCAAAATATTTTAAATTGGGGGTAAAATGTTCCCTAACAAAGGTGACTTCGTACACAAGCTCGATCCTGAGACCTTTGGTTAAGAATAAAGGAGTACTTACCACTCCACTATAACGCTTACTGGTTAGCAAGCTATCATCTGTATTTTCTGTAATTGTATTTCTTTGTCTTTGTAAAGTTTAAGTTATGTACAATGATAATGTATAAACTTTTTAACATCATAAATACTGCAAATTATAACTCTTCATTGCAAGCTTGACATGGTCAACTAAAAATTAGACTGATAATATGTTATAATTAGTTATATTGCATTGATAGTATAAAAGTTATTTATAATCTAAATACATAGAACTTAAATTCATAATACACAATGAAACTCTTAGCCGTTCTGCAATTGTTTCTGTGAAAGAAATCGTCGAGAATGGTCATTTACTCTCGTCATTCACTTTAATGTTCAAAATAAAATCTGAAAATTAGCTTTATTAGTGTTTTCTAAATAAAAGTAGAAACAGAAGAATAGTGCAAGTTGTGTGCAATCTTTTCTAAAAATTAAAAGTTGATAATAGTTTGGACATTTAATTGGCAAGCATAATACATTGGAAAAGAAAAATAAACAACAGTATATATGTTTAAGCATGTGATAGCCAAATGACCATTTCACAGTGACATTTTTACCCTGAAAAGTTCATTAAGATGACAAGGTGCACAACATTGTGAAATAATATGATGGTAGGAATATGGATGACAAAGAATTAGCTCTAACACTAAAAGCTAATTAATTCACCAAAATAATGAACCATTTGACCCATTCAAAGATTCTCAAAAGATGCTCTTATACTATTCGTTAAAAATAATACAAACTGAAGCCAAATCACATTAAATTGTTGGTCAGTCACCCTCCTTGCTTTTTACAATGTGGCACATACACTCCAGAAGTTAATATTATGATGAATAATATTATAATGATATCTTAATCTTATTAATTACCAGGGCACTAGGGATGGCAAACGGGCGGGTCGAAACCGGGTAATTTAAAAAATGAATAAATTATCTGACCCGACTCGTATTTGAGACGGATAAAAAAGGAGTTATCCGGCGGATAATATGGATATCCATATTATGCATGACTTCTTAAATATGATCACTTTAGGAGAATTCCTAGTCTTCCAAACTTGAGGAAGACCCGATTTAAGGCTTTACAAATGTAAAAGTTAAACACATTAGTTATCCATTGGTTAACCATTTTCTAAGTGGATAATATAGTTCTTATTCATATTCGACCCATTTTTAAAAAGTTCATTATCCAACCTATTTTTTAATGTATAATATGGGTGGATAATTATTTTCTTTTAACCATTTTCTCACGTACTAAATGAGGAGAAATTAAGTACGTGGTCAGATACATATTGTAAGTTTGTAACCTTCCAAACGAAAGAGCATATTTAAGATCGGAAAAAAATTACAACAGTCGTTACTTGTAGATAATAGTTGGACATCCATTATATGCTAAAGATCGTTATATGCTATCAACATTGTCACATAACAATCAATTATTTGAGAAAGCATTCTATACGATACATGGCCTTTATTTATTTTCAACATTTTCCTTTATTTCTTCTTTCTCTGTCAATTTTTCTAACACAGTATTAGTATATGTAGTGGGAGTCTGTGTGTTACTCGGACTTAAGTGGCATAGGCAGCTAATGATGATAAGAAAGATATGTGGCTACTGAAATGACAGCTGCTTTCACTACATTTACATATAGGTGAGTGGAGCTCTTAGGAAGACAAAACATGAAAAGAAACAACCATCACCGTTTTTAGAAAATGACAAATACAACTAGGTACAATGTCTTTGCATGAAAAGTCATGTGAAGAATATTTTGGCCTCTTGGCTGGGGAAGGTATGAAGCTTTGCCGTGGGATCGATCAATATTTGGGGCAGGGCAATTTCGGTACGGATTCCTAAGAATTCAATAATTTTTACTTATTTTTATTAACAATATGTAAAATTATTTAATTGTGAAGTCAGTTTAACTAAAACAATGTATAAGTTAGATAACAAGTTCAAAATATATAAACCCAGAACGCACGGCGAGCGTGGGTAGGAGGTGCGGAAGCATCTTAAACTGCTAACTTTATAGTTCACGGGGAATGAGAGTAGACAGAAACACTCTTCATTGATCATATGTGCTGCGGGACCCACATTACCCATTGATGTTGTCACTATCACGCCTCCTTCATTTTTTAGCGGAACAACAAACCCACCCCCGCGCAATTTG